TATATATATGGGCAAATCTTACTTGCTAGCTACTATTAATATCATAATCTACAAAACGGTATAACGAGTCGCTAATATTTCTTACCTTAATGTACTTTTTTCGTTCATAGATAGATCTTGACGGATGTCCCTTTAGTTCTCCAGCCTCATTTTCATTACCACGTCCTGAAAGATTTAAGATAAAGTTAGATTTATCAGAGGGCTTATTCTTGCGCTCGCCAATATCTAGGTGGGTCTAGAAGTGAGTCTTGATTGTATAATCTATCTTAATTTGATATCATTTTGTTGATTTCCAGCAGAATGAACAACGTAGGCGTTGCAGACATATAGAATTAAATAGGTGAATAGTTATCCTGTTATTATTTATTATTAGTTTATTATTAGTTATAATAAAAATTAGTTATAATTAGTTATAAATAGTTAATAAATAACCTGTTATAGCTCGTACATTTGGGCCGTTTTTGAATAGTAATAGAATATTCCAGTAATTAAATGAGTAAATTGACAAGTTTTATTGTTACAGAATGAACCCTTGAAGTGGCCAAATTTTTGAAAAGGACCAAAAACGTTTCATGGCAATTTAATATCGATTTTCCTAAAATTAGATAAGAGATAAGGTACGTACCGTAAAGGTGATCCCCTATAAAGAGGACTTTAGGGAATTTTTGGTGATATGGTTGGAACCAGTTCCTGATTAAAGGTAAGTTGATCCTCGAGAGAGGCCCTGTCATTAAAAATGAGAGAAAGCAAATGCGGAAACCATTTAATTATTGAAGTAGCTCAGCTTGTAGCTCTGGCAGCATAGATCATTTTCATCACTGAAAGGAATAAAAATAACCAATCAGTGCGACTTATGCGCGATCTGGAAGGCAAAGCTAAACGTGACCTATATTTTTTGTTTTTGTATTTACCTATTGAATGCTCGCGGCCAAACCACGAGATTCATAAAAATAATTCTAAGCAACCTTCTTTATAAAGAAAATACTAAATCAACGAAATCAACAGCAGATTATTTTGTTACAGTGACGACAGATAATGGGTCATCAAGGTAGGTTAGAATTTCTGAAGTTATATCCTTAATTATACCCGTATACTGTGATCACACAGATTTTGATGGACGGCATCTGTTACTAAGTAAACAAAAATTAATAATCAAGTACTACTGAGGTAAGGGTGCAGATGTTCAATGAAAGCTGATAGTAAGACAAAAGGATTATATTGAACACAAAACAACGAAACAAGCTTAGCTGGCCATATATTCCAAAGGTCACCTCTGAAAATTGCTGTAAGCAGTGAGTGAGCAGGCAACGTGTAGAAACACAAAAATAGGTATAATGAACTCCAGTTTATCGTCCATCCCAAAAGAGAGGAGTCGTCAAGGAGCGGATGGGGAAATGTGGATGAGTGAAAGGGGATCGTCCATCTCGATTCAAAAATACGGACACAGTTGATCCACCGAAGACACGTTTCTGTTTGTGATCGGCTAAACGATTATAGAGCCATTGGGGTAATAATGAATTATGTATCAGCGACTCCATCGACTCCGAATAACCTCCGAGATCCGCCAGTGAAAATTTACTCCCCGGGGGGGGATTTACCTAACTCGCTTACGTCACATACAGCCTCGTTGGCATCGCTCCGACTGGCAGTGTCTGGAAGATAATGAACGGGTGGTTTATAATGATATACGATAAGATCTATGCCACTAATTGTACGCAATTCAGTTAGGAGTTCGAAGGCAGGTGCAATGCCCAGTGCTATCAGCGCCGATTGCGGAGGCAGTAGCTTTAGAAGAAGTGACACGATTCTAACTAGAGAAACGATATTAAGCTTCCCCTGTTGAAAAAATCAGATGTTAGCTGTTGCGCCGATGGACTTTAATTAAAATTTCTGAAGGGACGAAAGGGAAAAAAGAGTCGCATAATTAATCACATAGAAACAAATTGCAGTAGAAACAAAGTACCAAACATTCGTTTTTCATACGCCCAACTATTTTAGTCAACTTTGAATGTCAATTTTACTTTTAAGTAATCGAGTGTCTACTTATACAATGATTTATAAATACTGTGCCTTTTGTGTTGTATGTTCGAGGTAATCAACATGTGGTATGATTTTTCGTAGTGGTATATATCGAATGTTGACGCAGCGAGTACTGCATGTTCACGAAACATCCTACAGAGTCGGGTAACCGAAAATGTAATTATTTTAAAAGGGGTCATTTCTGTTTAATCGAAAATGAAATTTCTGGCTCGTCGTTCGTGGCGGAGTTGATGTTAACGTGTATTATCCGCTTACTAATAAACCAATTTGTGAATATAAGCGATTCGAATGAAAGGAGGAAACGTTCGCTGGAAAAAACGTCAAATGCGTCAAACACTTGGTCATATCAGTCAACATAGCGCGGAGTTACTTCACTCCGTGCTATTGCACTTCCGTCTGGTGATAATGCCGGCTGCCATTTATCGCTAAATACTATGTCGATAAACCCTGTATTACTATTAAGATAGCATCTACTAGACATAAGCATCTACAGCGTCTGCCTCTTTTTGCTGGTCCAGCAGACATCTCCCGCCCCTATCTATTGTATAATGTTTACCGTTCATCCAAATAACGACAATACCTGTTGTGCGGAGCGTCCGCATTGCGACGTGCACATACATCACTCATGCACACAGAGTGAACGTTACTTTTCTATCTATTTAACGTTATCTAGTCGTTATTTTTGATTCTAGCTATCAGTTGATTGCTGGAAAAGGGTCTTCACAATGTCCGCGACCACGGAGCTCCGAAGACCGATCATAGCAAACATTGACCCACAGTTTCCGCCACTTTATCAGTTTATCTTGCGTAGGCATCTTTAGTGTTCAGTGATTCGTTTTAAAGCATACTTGTACAATACATACAAATGGCATATTCTTTACTAGCAAGTATTCTCGCGACCAACGTGGGACTTGAAGTTGAAATTGCAAACAGGAACTATTGAATTCGCCAAATAAGTTTAAACTAAGGGACCATTGATCAGGCTTTCCTTGCTTAAAAACTTTACTGAATTATAAACGCAAATCGAACACTGACTAATTTTCAAATAAAGCCAAAGAAGAAAAAAAGCCAAATAAAGCAAGAGAAGAAAAAACACCGCCTAAATTTATACTGTGTTATTATATAGATAATACAACGTGGAAACATATACCTAATTTACCATTCGAATATTTAAAGTAGTACCAAAGATAGTAACAACTTTTAGGCAGTCAGGTTTGCGCAACAACAAAAGTCTCACTTTATCATAGAACTAGGCACGCCAAACCTCTCCACTATTAAACACGAGCGACAAGCCTTGTGTCAAAATTACAAATCAGTCACCAAAGTGGCAGATAGGCATTCGTACATTCATAGCTCTGAAGAAAATTCGGGAAAAAATTCAATACTGCAAAATGGCTGATGCTTCGCTTGCAGAGGCTCTTAAATTGTAAAGTCATCAGGAGTGCCAACAAACGGCTAACGTCAGTTGCTTTAGTGATTTATTCCGATAAGGGTTCTCATCCTGACTGCCATGTTACCTAGAGCTACTGGCGTCTAGAGAAAGCACCATTTCAGCTAGACAGATGGAACTGCTACAAAGGAACTTGTTTTTGTAACATGTTAAGCCTACATTTTTTGCAACATACTTAGAATGGCGTGTAGGAAAAAATCGGGTTAATGACCCCATATCTCTCCGCTACTGCGACCGCTATACGAAAATCAAATATCAGTTGCAAGTACAGCGAATGTGAACTTTCTGCGAAACTGTAAAAATGTTAATTGTAGGCAATCCCATTTGGTCTTTCGTGCACTACTATTTTATGGTTGTGGTCCATTGGATTTGTATGTATTTTTATTACGGAGTACAACTCAGTGAGACACTGATAGGATAGCAATTTTTATTTATACACACAAACTGTTTGGGAAAAAAAGGGGTGCTCGACTGTTATGTTGGATAGGGCGTCTAATGCCGAGAATATTTACTTTACTCGGCGCGTTTGCTGTCTTTATTTCCTCCTAGCAAAAAAATTAGATTCTGTTAGGACTCTGCAAGGTCATATTTGACCAGTATAGATGCTATTACACTTTTTGCCCACTATTTATGCAAATTTGGACCCTCAGCTTTACGGCATCAAAGCGAAGCATTTATTACAAATCGTTTCATCCTCTAAAAAATGACAGATTTCAATGGAGTAGGTCGTAGCTGCTTGGGTCACACGTAACATTAAATGAAAAACGACTCATAATAAGAGTGAAAAAGGAGTGATATTTGGAGACAAATTCAAATCTCTCGCAAATGACTTCCTTTTTGATGAATGAGTCTTTCTAATTCTACGCTGGTCACGTACCGGAGATAGATTGGTAGCTAACGATGCCGTTAGCAGGAGAAGAATGCATATTATAAAAAGTTCAATTATTTAAATTTGAGTATGGGCTCTTTGAAGAATCATCGGCTAATAAGGAAGACACTATTCTCCGATGGGAAATTGACTCAGTTTGATAAGCTAGCGTTCCCACCAGTTCAAGGGGCATGCCATACCCCTAAGTTTTTAACGAACGCAACCTGAATTTATACGTTACATAACATACGTTATTATTTACGTTATATACAGCAAAAAAACAGAACTAAGGCAAGACTTTCTATCAAAGTCTTGCCTTAGTTCAAGCACCGCGTCTTTGGACATCGTGCAGCCTAGCGACGTTTGACTCAGCTGCGCGGGAAAACGAAGCTGGAGTTGGTTCCGTTCTAATCGTGTTCTCGTTATCCGAATTTCAAAAGGTCTTTGATGATATGCCTAGTGAAAACCATTGCTTTGTTTAGAGCATGACAAGTATCAGAAATTTAACAATTTCATACGGAGCTTGATACACGAAGTCGAAACGAGGATGGGGGAGGGAGTACTTCAAAGCACATGCATTCTGTTTTCCATCTTCTTCTTCAAGTGATATAGTTGTGCGCTTAAGCGACTAGGTTTTTTTGTTAAAAATTACTGTCGATATTAACTACTGGACCTGATAAAATAAAAAACGTTCCTTATACATGCTTTGTCATTCGCACATCAAGCAGGATACGTACAAAAGTGTATTGATTGCGAAGCCCTCGACAAACCTTTGCTTAAGAAATCTAATGACTTCAGAAGGTTTTCACTACGCCATTCAAATGAAGATTCCGCGCGACGGTTGGCCTACTAGCGTCCTGAAGCAAAGTGCTGTATAAGTGCAGCTCGTAGCTATCAGTTCCTTGGTATGTCCTATAGCCAATGCTAATTTTTTGAGAAAAATACACTTGCACATCTAAAGAGAATGTATTATAGCCTTGGTAGGGTTCATGGAGCTGTGCTGGTCAGCGCAAACTGATTTTTTTTCCACTTGATCCTCTGTAAACCTTAATACACCTTGGCGATATTTGTCGTATATTCTTTAGGGAAATCATCTGAACTTATCCATATTCTGCTTATCAGCATGCGGAACATCACGAAAACCGTGAACCGAAAACCGTAAGTGATTCTTTGATTAGCTTTGATTAACGAAGGAGAAAAATTGTTGACTGAAATCTACATTTTACAAGTTTTTGTGAACAATTTTAAGTAATTCCATCACTCCATAATAGCGGACGCACGTTTCGGTGGCGACGGTGGAAATTGTTTAGAACAAGGTTCGACATTTGCGCTTATTTTTTCAAAAACCACTTATATATAGCCCTAAAAATGCGTTCATTCATAAGTTCATTGTAATGTAGCCAGCGGTTTTCTGATTTTTTTTTGAGACGCGGTAATAAACGCTGTCGACAACTTGTAATAACGGTACAACATCTATTGAAATAGCTAGCTGATGGACTATCTACTTTGTTATTCATAATGGCATTTGCTGTTGGGTCATATTTATTCAGAAGCAGTGACTTGTATTAGGCTACTGGACACACACAACTTCACTGGTTACTTGAAGAAACACAAAGTTAATTAGTTCAATTGTAGGGTCAAAAACAGGTCAATATGCTTAAAACTTCGAAAAAAATCTCTGCTGTTTGGACGACGTCCAGTTGTTATCACCAGCCGCCACAAAGTGTATATCGCTGTTTTTTTTAGATAGACATACACAAACATAAACAACTTCAATAAAGCACTTTCGCTTTACGTGCAAATATGCTCTTTGATATAGCCTTCACAATATTTTTTATCCTTCTACTTTTGAGAAGTTTATAACAGTCATGATAATTTTCAATTGCATGCTTTTTACGCTCGACAAGGAGCTGATGGCAGATTGTAATTTCTCCGCTTCGAAAATGTTTGCCGGCATTTTTTTAGGCAGTGAACGTACTCCTAATCACAGAAATTGATGGCTGTGCTTGCAGCCTCATTACTAAGTTGAAATTGAATAATGAATGAAAAATTGCATTGTGTAACAATGACTAAAACCAAAGAGTAGTGCGTAAGCATATTTAAAAAAGCAACAAGTGAATATAGTTAAGTTTATAATGCATCATCATAATAATATATAATATGACATTTTATACGCACTGGCGTTGACGGAAGTCATAACAAAGTGATCCAACTAACTTGGACCTATACGTGGTCAAACGGTGCCTTATGTAAAACATTTTTTTTTTTAAATTTCAGGGGCAATGCGTACCTTTCTGTGCATACATGCGTATCAATTCCAGTAACTGAAGTAGAAATGTGTTTAGTATACATCAAGTTCGCCGCGACCATTATGCACTGAAAACGTTTCTTTTATAAATGTTGCTTCTGACATAAACATCTTAGTTCCGAAATTAGCGGGAAAAAAACGAGTTTCATTATTATCCTGTGTCCAAACTTAGCAAGGTTTACATCAATTTATAAAAATTCGCTGTCGACATGCGTTATTTAGTTAACTAGCAGCTAGATAAGTTTTTTGGGGCTCGTCTTTTTCTTGTTGTTCTTCGGCTTTTCTATCGTTGACCCGCTGCTGGTATCACTTGCTGTGGGACTGCCCTATTTCCGGACGTCTGGCAACTGAACCAGCTGTGAATCGAAACGCATAGCACTTTAGCTCTTTATTCCTTCGAAAGCGACAGATTCATTCAAAAGCGTGGATTACTCAGATGTGCCCAAAGGTAAAATGGAGGTTTAGGTTCTGAATGGTTGGAATGAAGGAGAATATGTCTCACGATCGTTCGTTATGACCACTTGAGCAGACAGCGCAATGACTGACGACCCTCAAAGGTGTACGCCGTGGCGCTGCTATCGGACGACAATAACAACAAAATCGCTTTTCAGCGCATTGCTATGTAGAATAGCATTTAACAACAATAGGTTGCTACGAAGCAAAATGTTCATTAACAGTGAGGAACTATCGGCCGCTATGAGGCATTATTTTTAACGGTACTTCGGGATTGATACATCGAGGCATCTAGCAGGATCTGACGAAAACGCTCGTTGTAGACAGCTTTATATTTTCTCCGATCCCAATTTATCAAACACGACAGATTGTACTGTCAAGAACGTATTAGAATTATAGCAACCTTTGCCATTATTACTATCGGATTGTTTATCGTTGCTTGGAACAAAGGAATTTTTATGGAAAAATGATTAACCCTTTCATTACGCGTAAAAGTACTACGATTGCTACTAAGCTAAGATGCACACTGGCTTTGATACTTTTAAGCTTATTTGAAACAATGCGCGCATGGCTCCTGGTCGTGAAACGGGTTTTCTGACGTGTTACAGATGACAGTCTGATCGTCACGTTCTTTTATATTCTTACATATTTATATACGTTTAGGATTCGCTCAAAATTATCAATTTTCACTGTATGTATGAGCAGTTTTAGATGATAGGTTCGGTAATGGCCGAAGCGATAGCAAGAGTGGTATAATAAGCGTAATTTAGCGTAAGCCACTGATTCGAGTCCCGAAACATCCACGCGAAACTATAGTGGCCGAGGTCGGTCAAAGAATAAATTCGCTTTTTAAGTCTAGATATTACCTAATATTTGCAGAATTGTCGCAATGGCTCCATGTGCGCTTCCGATATACTGAATAGAATCTAATTGAGCAATTCAGGTAATTCAACAATGGTGAGAGCTTTCGAAAATGCTTGTACTGTTCTACTTGATATATGATATTTTAGCAAAGGCGATGGGGGTCGACAAATTTTAAAAAAAAGTATGACACCTCCAAGCAGAAAAACGCGACCTATAACGCTGTCTATGGATCTTAATCATTTGATAACTTTATTAAGCTCTCTATTACTACCATACCGCGAATATTGTATACATTGTCCATATATTTCCGTCTCTGGCTAGCTGCAAACAAAAATGATCCCAAACAGTCGTTAGAGGAAAAGCAAGACGAAGCGGAGGTGTCTGTTTTTGAATCGATACGGGTCGATTTATCTAGGACCGTACAAAGACGGCCAGCATCTTTATTTATGTATATAATTTTTTTTTTTTTTTTTTTTTCTGTTTTTTACGTTCTCTCTCATACGTGTAATAGTTAGGTATAGGGTACAAAGAGAAAAATACCGGAACGGTGTGTCACGGGGTTTTATAACGTTGACGAATATTGTATAACAGCAGATGGCACTCTCTGAAGATTCATGAAACGACAAAGGTCCGTTCTTTGTCGTGAATTCAAACAACTACTTCTTTCAAAACGGAATCTAATAAACCGTCACAACTAGTATCCCGGTATGATCTCAGTAGAAAAAATAATCGGGTGAATAGAGCTTAAGAAATAATCCTCGACTTTAGAATGTAATTATTTTGCAACACCTCGGTACGTGTAGTATCAGCTGCCGGATAGGTTATCGGACGAGCAAAATGCATATACGGTAGACCTTCCGAGCTTTACGATCGGTACCGGCGTTCGGTATTCCATCATACGGCTCGTCCGTAGAAGTGCACGAGGCGTGTCTGCGCCCGCACAAAATCCTCAAGTTTTAATGCGCTGCCCACTACGCCATCATCGGAACTTGTGCAAATCTATGATAAGTTCTGTAACAGCGAGATGGGTAATTATTGGTGAATGTTGGGAATTCAGCACCAGGTTCAGCTAAAGACAATATATCCATGCGCAACTAACGCGTGTGGCCAAAACAAGATTTTATTAGTATCTTTTCCTCCATTACATCATAATGTGCGACCAATGGAAGACTGGCACTCGTCATACCAGTGCAGGCCTGTATATCTGATATCAGAAAAAGCAAAAGTAGAATCTACCCTTTCTATGGTCGTGGCGTTTGTTTTATTTCCCTGTATAGAGTTTTGCTTTTCGACCGATGATGCAAACTATGCAAAAGCTTTCGTTCCGCCCCTCAAGGCATTGTCACCCCATTGACAACAACGACAGTAAGACATTATCAAACACAGGATATTCCCCTTCTAAAAAAATAACGTAGAGTGCAACGCAACCAATCGGAGCTTATCTCGGAACCAGCGAGATAAGCTCCGACTGTCGGATATATCTGACATTTGGTGAAACGAATAAGTAGGACAAGTAAAACTTACTATGCCCAAATACGATATCTGTTATATATTGATCGCCAATTAGCGAAATCAATGGACGCACGATGTGCAATTTGGTGCTGTTGTTCTATTCCCACCCAATATAAACTACTCGATTTGAGTACCATGATAATATATCCATCACTTTGAAAAAAGGCGAATCTCTGATTCAATTTATGGAAATAGTTAATGCGCTATTTGTCAAAGGACACACTTTTGCAGGCGATAGATAGAAAGCAAACAATCACCAAATGTTGCTAGAAGCAAGTCTTATACAGCCTACCCGTGATATTTTAAATCTATCCAAATAGGAAATTATCGTTAAAAGCTTTTCAGTGTGTATTATTATTCTATTTAGATACATATGTAGGAACTTTAATTGCAAATTTTGCATTCAAAGTTAGCTAATAACTTACCTTTAGTCAGATGGGCACCTGTATCTTAAGCATTTGTAAACAATTATACATGTACACATATTATATCTATATATTATATATACGTATTATAATATCGCCGATCATTTAGCTATGGTTGTTATGGCCTATCAATGAAAATTATACATGTATTATTTTCATTGATAGGCCATAGAATCATTTCGGAGTTTCTCACTACAATGATACTAGTGTATCATATAAGTGTATGGATCGTAAAACACATATATGGTCTTGTTGCAATGTAATTACTATTAGAAAATTTAAAAAAAAAATAATCTAGATGGTTCAACAAATATTTTATGACAGCAGTTCCTTCGACACTTGACTGGGTGTTTAACACCGTTTCCTCTGCTGTCGTCAGCTAGACAGGATGCGGTCAATATCTAGAAATAGTATTAAATCGCATACCATAATATTATCAACAATGTGACCGAATTATTATATGCAATAGGCATTTCATTTAGAAGATAGCGACTTACTAGAATTAACGTGCTGGTCTTGTATAGCTCTGGCATAGTTCTGTGAAAAAGCCTTTGTTGACTTGAGTTGGTCAGCAGCCGTACTAGGACCTATTTCAAGGGCATGACAGCTGTTATGTAGAAAGGACCTTCCAACGACCAGCAGAACTGGCCAAGAAAAAGCCATGGGTAGACAATTGATTCGTCTGCGCGTCATATGAGGTCTTCGCTTAGTCTGAAAGGGAACCGTTCGTTTTAGATTCATGTATTTATTACAGTGTGTTTCGGGTATACTGTGAACCCCCTGGTTATAACGTATGCTTTAAGAGCGCAGACGAGATATACTACAATAACAATACTAGGTGTTTTAGAGTGTTTCGATGATATCACTCTTCAAAGTTTCATTCCCGGCAATTTTCAAACAAAACTCGTCCGTCGTTTCGAAATTACAGATGTAACTTAAATAAAATAATTCGGTTGCGAAAAAAGTATGTTACATGTAAAAAAAAAAAAAAAAAAAGCTTATTGTATTACCAGTTTGGCCAACTAAGCGTTGGCAATTTCTTTAACCACACCTATTCACATGTGGGCATAATAACGTACGTACGTGCTATAGATTTAAGCCCCATAAGGAATCGATACTTGGCGTATGACACACTGCACCCTAATTTAAATAGGTCAGGTCGAATTTTCTGGGAACCTAAATCTTCTGGGTTATATAATAATATTATTAATCAGTATTCGAAGCAGCCTAAAGTATGTATTTTAGCACGTACATGCATAGGAAAGTAAAAAGGACGGATGTACCTAATATACAATAGGCGCATATTGCATCTTGTTCTTTTTATGAGTTTAGACTATCGTGACACTGAGTGTGCTTCTAATAGACCTCGTTAGTTAGTAGATAGTTAAAAAGGTTCACTACCTTTGGGGCAATGAGAGGTGGCCACCTGTTTCTCTCTATTTTTCCTGTCGTTGCGTTTAAAAAAAGACCAGCGACGTCATGCAGAGTATGGCCAGTTGAAACTGGCAATTATTTACAGACAGAATGAGCACTTTAGCTACTGTTTAATTGGAACGAAATGGTATACGGCAGTCGAAAGGAATTATGACCTTTAACCAAAATGTTGCTTTCTCATGAGTTTTTCCCAAACCATAATAATTTACGTACGGCCTAATAGCGTGTTATTATTATTATTGAAAAGAAGACAATGTGAGATCATTTCAGGACAAATAGTTTTTTTTTCTGTGGACCAGTACGAGATGGATAATTAAATATGGATATTTTTCAGGATAAACAGACTGAAAACGACCTGGATCCTGCAACGTAAATCAAATGCATGTATTAAGACTGTACGCCTGTACTCACGTACCTGGCTATAGTAATTTAAAGCTTGCATTTTTTACTTTCAAGATCAATCTTAATTAAAACAAGTGACACACATATACATATATATATATATATATATAGGGGCATATGTCAATAAGTTAACTATTATCACGGAATATTCAACAAACTTTTCTATGATCGCTATTTTTTACGCGCAAGATAACTGTTAACCTATTTCTCTCTTTATTTCTGTGTCAACTGTAGGCCAACATTCTAAACGTACTTTTGCCCCTTCGCTGCCCCTATTGAATGCATGGCAAGTATGGCACGGAAAAAACAAAAAATCAACGTGACCACATTTGCAGAAGTCGACTTTTGGACTTTCATTCCATTCCAGATGATTGCTTCAAAAACCAAAAGGTGTGGAAGTTAAAGTCGAGCAATTGAAAGAAGTATACGAAGAAGACCAAAAATACAGGCTAAAACTCTATTGACAAACTGCTTAGATGGCAAGCGGGGTCAATCTAGCAGGCAGAGAGTATAACTAGAAGAGTTCTTTAATGTCTTTATAGTACCACAACGATCTTACTATTTGTCGCACAGATCCACGTATTTTAATTGCAGGGATCAGTTTTTCATTAGAGTGTGTGTTAAGCAAGTACCTCGCCTCAGCAAGGCAGATGGTGGCAAAGGAAATAAAAAAATGTAAAGTTATTAAGAAAAAATCGTTACTGTTTAAAGTCGATATCAACGAACTATGCATCATCGTAGTCGACACGGCTTTGCCATACTCATTGAACCGCAACACAGAAGACTAAACAAGAACTTAATCAAACAAAGAATCTGGATATTACCTCTCCAATAGAGTGTATATCAGACAGGCATTGAAAGAAGACTGTGCTGAAACGGGTCACTATACATACGGTGATTAACAAACAGATGTAGGTTAATAGATCTAGCTATTTTATAGACTAATGGCTTTCTGTTTAGACGTATTTTGACTTAGAGCCTCAATGTCATGAATGAACAAGTCCAGCAATTTACACACTCATAACCAATCATTTAAATCACGTAAATTCCAGATAGCACACACTACAATAGCCAATGAAACGGGGTATTGCTAACACATATGATATATTTAATATTCTTTTCAATCTAGCTCGAGTTCATTATACGTACCGAATAGCTAGAGATAATTAGTTGTTAGGCATAGCAAGGAGGCCTGACGTATGGTGTGTGCAGATTTGCCACCATTCACAGCCACAAGTATTCTGATTTCTGTCTACTGAAACTAGCACACGTAGGCAGATCTCTAATTTAATAGCAATTATTGGCCACAACAACTATCGTATTGTGGTTGTCTAAAAATCGGAAACCAATGTTTGGCGTTAATTTAGCACAGTTCATGACGCATTTACGGAACAAATGCTGCTATTCTAAATCGATACGACCGTTCCGTACGACAGTGGACAGGGGTCTGAGCATCGCGCGTTTCGCGCTTACGGTGCTACGGCGAACACGGGGCGGAAGCTCCGCAGAAGAGAGGGTTTGCGTCCGCAAGTTTCGGGGAGAAGGTTCAATAACGAAAGAAAGGTTAGACGAGCGAGAAAAAGTGTAATTGCGTCAAACATGAAGACGGAAAAAGTTCTTTTTTTCCATTGCGATATTGTGTCGTGTGGAAAGGCTAACTATTGAATAGAAGAGCTATAATATTGCGCTGCTGATTAGTATCTAACCGTCATACAGTTATACCGAAATGGACACCTGGCCGTTTGTAAAAGAATATAGCGTTCGTCGTTCATCGTAAGTAATTAATCAGATCAAGTCGAAGATATAGGACGCACTTTTCGCGAGCGTTGAGCCTTTTCCACTAATCACGTATCGCCTGAGGCAATCATCCATGTGTATTCCGGGATAGCATTAGGTTAACGGCGTAACTAGCAGTTATGGTTTGAGCCGAATGCTGACCTGGAACATATTACTGCGAAACGTTTTTGTAAATAGTTCCGAACGAATAGCTTTACTGCAACTCAGCATCGTTTCTATGAGACACCAACGCTTCAAGGTAAAGCTACAGGCGCACATAGATAAATATGAAAACCGCTTGGCAACTACTTTGCCTCGTCTACGACGTACAGTCTTTTTGGGTAACACCGTAGTTAGCGCAACTTCGCTAAATACACATTCTGGTTGCACGTCGTGTCCTTTTCAGACGCATAAGATTGTCCTAGTTCCACCATTTCGAATTGTCCTCCTTTTACGATAGCAATCTGACTTAATTTGTACTATTCTCTGTTGTTTTTTTATTAATGTGGAGACACCATTTTTCACCACCGGTAACAATTCTGTATACAAACCTGTCATTGTGGTTCTGTGTTGCCAGACTAGCTCCTCAGCCAGTTGGAAGTCTTTGTTACTTGGGATATTCGTCAACTCGGAACGGTTGATCAGGGTGGGACACTCTCTACAGCTAACGTTCTATCTTGGAACTTAACAAATTCTTCTTCTCTAGCAGTTATACAGTTCCTGCTATACATGGCACAAGGACCCCAGCCCGCTTCGGCGGCTTTTGACCTCACTAGAAGGCGAAATAGCGACGGTGTTGGAAACGGTCCGCCTCATTTTATCATAGAAATTTGTCTTTGGAGCTTGAACACAAAACTCCATTCAGCGCATAACAACTTTATAAAGAACCTACAAAGACAAAAGAGTACTTTGAGGCAATATATTACCTTATTGGGAAAGAAAAAGTTTGTAAATCATGTTCTCAGCAAAGGAAGGAAGAAAGAAGGATTAACTACCCAATAAGATGCCTCATGTCCCAACTTAATAAATAGCAACTTTGCCCTCTCGATATAAACTTTCCTAGCTTTCGCTCGAATTTTTTATAGCAATAACTACAACAGTTTCTTTCAAGTCGCTTTAAATTTTTATAATAAATATTTCGACGATATTTCCGAAAGCATTAGTTTATTTGAAAGCGAAAAAAATAAGCTTTAGCGCCAAGTATGAGAGTATGTCTCCTAATATATTGTTAGTGGCAATGTTTTACTATAGGTTGCTATCTATAATTTGTAAATCTGTCATGAAGTGACGATGGTTAAAAGAAGACGCCAAAGAAAGTAGTTTGTCCCTACGTTCCCGTGTATTGCTCCTGTTCGAGATTTTATCAGACGGAAAATTCCCAGCACCCGGGCCCGGATTCGATCCCAAACCACAATATGCGCCTACCGTACGCAGTTATCCACTAAGCTAAACAATACCCGAATTAATTTGTTTGTATAGATGGTAGTTAATGCTTGCCTGACTCCGCTCCTCAAGTTATAATTGTCGACAGTAGGTGAAATATGTATTGGATCATATGATTCTATTGTTGACGATGGGAATTTGTTAGCTAGGATTTTAAGAAGCGAACACACAAATGAAACCCAGTCTAAATAAGAATAGGTTTATTTCGCAGATAAAGTATCCCTTTCGGCTGATAAGCTTGCATATTTCATATTATTAAAAAACTAGGTACATACAACATACAGTAAACTACCGCTTGCAATTAAATAAAATGAAATATTTTCCTTTTAAAGATACCGCATGAAGCATTGCTATTTTTGCATTAAACCTGTAATTTTGAGTGGAGTTCAAGATGCTGGAGCTGGTAGGATCTAATTATAAGGGACAGCTGTCACTCGGATGCCGGTTGTCGTGTATGAGCAGTTTGTTGTTGTTGTAGCGGTATGACGCAGTACCTGTTATCTGATCATTTCAAGAGAAATTCAACTGTCAAACTTGACATCTTGGGATAGAAGACTGTCCTAGGGCGCCTATCCTTTTGGATAGCTGGTGTATGAAAATTCAATTGTCGTTATAATCCTTCCTTTCTGAACAAGCCAGATCGAAACAGGGCAGCAGGTGTGTCCCGAACCCTATACAAGTACAGCGAAAGCAGTTGGATATCGTTTCGATGTCAAAAGTGGAAAAGCAACAACCGACTATTCGGCACCCAATTCGTGATAACTGTGTAAAAAGATTTATACATTTGAGCAATAACTACAGATGGGCTATCGAGTTTCTATCACATTTTTTATTCGATAACTCATCGAGACTGATGCCTTTCGTATCGCTTCTCATTGATGAAAATCTCCATAAGAATCGATATCTCGGCACGGTCTAATCGAATTGGATCTAACGGAGAATATTAACGGGAAATTAATGGAGATAATGGGAGCATTACTACTTTTTGGCCTTTATATGTGAGCCGATGTAAATAATTGACACATATTGAAAGTCGAACCAAGGCCCACGTGTAGGAGCTCACCTAGCCGCAGTAAAAATCAGCGAATCGTGGGGCAGAGCGGACACCGCGTCGCAGATGTGAAGCAGAAGCAGTTCCGCGTAGTTTGAACTATAGTTGGTGACGAAGAAGATGAAACGATAGCTTTTGCTTGTCGTGTTATTACACGGTGGCTTAACACCGAACCGGATCTGACTCATGGAAAAGGACGCACATGTTGGCGGGTTGTCAATTTGGGATTCGTCTGCAGATGTGATTTACATTCGGCCCCTTTTAGAGGTCAGTCGTTAGAAAACATGGCCTAGAGCATTTTTGGCTTTAAACGTGTGTTTTGGGTGCAGGTTTTAAAGAAATTGTTCGAGTCCAAGAAAAAAACTGGAGGAAATATCTGAGAAAATGATCGAAAATAGCGAAATCTATTAGAAGCAAAAAGTACGGCACTTCTAACCTCAAACAAACGGCCCGATTGTTTTTGACACCTTTAAACATTTCTGCATTTAGTATTGCCTTGACAATGAGCTTCCCTGCCCTCAGAATGTCTTTTTGACTGGTACATTTGAGTTATTTTCGAAATCGTATTTGTGCTAATATATTTTTAGGAAACTGTAAATTTGTGAGAAATAAACTCAGTTATAAAACTGTGACACAGACTAATACAAGGCCTATTTATGTCTGGATGGGATATTGAACTTTGGTTGATACCTTCTACCGTTTGTGTCTGTAACCAGTCGAAATGTTGGAAACATTGATCAAAGCGCCGCTTGTGTGCGCCCTTAGCTCCTAGGTGAACGACCTGATCAAAATTGGTTATCTGTATCTTCCAGGTTAGGAATCTAGCTTAGTTCGCTGGAGGAGTTCAAACGAAGGATCTACTTATTCCTTATGTTTTCGATAAATGCCAAAGAATCGAATGGAGGAGCATATTAGCTGGGTGACAGTACATAGTCTTTAATAAGCTCAAGTATATTCAGTACGTAGTAAACACGTTCGACGCAATCGGTATCGGTATTTTAGATCCAAAAAAAAAATTCTGTAAGGTTTGTTCAGTGGAGGATATATTATTCGTTTGGCCACAGTTGACGCTTGAGGCGTCCAGTGTTACCCGCCGCCATGACAGTTTAAGTTTAAATTTACAAGTAGCCAAATATTTTTGCTGTTAATATGCTGGGTTACCTGTTATCATGGTACTGTATCAAGTGTGTTTTTATTTTAGATAGTCGAGTATTTATGCCATTTCTATGGTCTGTTCGAAGTTAGATAGCTCGGCTTACGTTTCAGTGTCGGCTAAGTGAGCTATATGTATCTATTCGTCGGTTCTTTGTGAAAAAAAAAAAGGCGACAAACTACGTCGTTGAGCATCGGACTGTGAAGCGGCATCAGATTCAAGAGGCGAACTTTAAATAATAATTAATACAACTTTCCAATAAAATCCATTCATTTTCAGCTATCAGAGCTGTTCAGAGCTAACGAAAAAAATGTAACGATTCAAACGCGAGATACTCAGTGCACGAAAATTCGAATACGTGTTATCCAGACTTTTGCACCCGAACAGCTCGACTTTCTTTTGCCAAGAATCTTTTGCTAGTTAATTTCATGTATAT